AGATGGAAACTGGCAGGTGAAAGACGAGGCGGCCGTGCCCCGAGAGGCGGCTCTTCCGCAGGGTTCTCTGCTCTGTCCCGTGCAGCCCACGGCCCCTCAGGCTCATCTCCCTGGGCCATCTCCGTGGGCTGTTCTGTCCTCCGGGACCTGAGCATGGACATGCTGAGGTGCTGTCCTTCACAGTGACCGCCCCTCCGGTGGGGGTGTGGTGGAGAGGACGGGGTGAGGTCCGGAGAGTAAAGCCCTGGTCTCCGCCTGCTTCACCTTGATCTTGGCGGTGTCTCAGCCCGGAAACGGAAGCGGTGCTCCGCTGCCCGCCCATGGCTGCTCTAGTCAGCATCCGGCCTATTGCAGCCCACGTCCAAGGCCGGTGCCTGACTGGCCCGCTGAGCGTGAGGTCAGCGTCGGGTCCGGCAGTGTCGCTCTGTCTGTAACGCTGTGGCTGGAGGAGCATACAGGAACCCGGCCCTGAGTGGCGTGGAGAGAGCCGGGCCCCTAGCGTCCGGCAGGTGCAAAGCCGGCTGGCAACTCTGACTGCCTGGCCCTTGCAGTGCAGCCTTGAGAGATCGCCTAGCCTCCCTGTGCCACACTGCCTCCTCTGAAAAGTGAGAATAATGAACAGTACGCTTCCTTTACAGGGGCACAGCAGGATTTAATATAATAATGTTTGTGAAAGGCTCACACAGGGACACTGCCAGGCTGCACAGAGTCAGGTGGACCCCACGGATTCTGTGAAGAGGAGACTGTGGTCATGAGCAAGAAAAACTGCAAGTTCATTTTAAAGTCTACTGAATTGAGTTTATGATGTATTTTTCCAACTAAGGAAGACTGAGTGTGTTAAGATTATGATAGAGTCAGGCTGGGAATTTAGCTCAGTGGTTTCGCTGCCTGCTACGCAAACTTAAGGACCCGAGTTCGATCCCCGGTACCAAAAACAAAACAAAACAAAAGATTATGATAGAGTGGATCCAGAAATGTTTTGGGTTAGGGTTGGTGGCACACACTCATCATCCCAGCACTGGGGAGGCTGAGGCAGGAAGATCATGAGCTGCCTGGGCTACTTAGTCAGTTCAAGACTGGCCTGGACTCAACAGAGAGGAGAGAACCTGTCTCAAGACGAGAACAGAACATAACAGAACAGAAGAAATGTTGTGGCATTAGTAAGTGGTCCTTATAGCGCTGCAGAGACTGATGTGGACATATAGGCAACATTCAGTAGAGGTTTTAAAAATAGTAGCTGTGTGCCGGGGATTTAGCTCAGTGGTGCTGCCGCCTGCCTCGAAAGCACAAGGTCCTGTGTTCAATCCCCGGTACCAAAAAAAAAAAAAAAGTAGCTGAGCAGTGAGCACATTTATGGATTTTTAAGCTCCAGATGCTGGACACATGGTTTGGAAATTTCTGGGAGGAGACACAGGAAACTGCCATTTGAGATACCTGTAGGGAATGGGCTGGGGGATCCTGGTATTCGGTGAGGTTTTTTTTTACTTTACTGTTTGGACCATGGCTGTGTATTCTACAACAAAAACAGTTTTAATTTATAAATAAAGAAAGCCAACCTAGCACTCTGGAAGCTGAGTCAGGGCAATCACAAATTCAAGCCCAGCCTGAGCAACTTACTGACTTAGGGAGACCCTGTCTCAAAGTAAAATTAAAGAAAGAACTGGGATGTAGTTCAGTGAGGAGGCCCTGGGTTCAATATCCGGTAACACAAAAGCAAAAAAAGAAGGAAAGCAATCAAGCTGGCCAAATATATGCAAGCAAGCAAGCAAACCGAAAAATCCTTCTAAGAAGAATGTCAAATAACAGGGATCCTTATGCAAACTTGGCAGCCAGAGCTCGGACAGAGGGGCCCCAGAAGCTGGATTCCATCCTTGCCCAGCCCCCTGCCCAGCTGCTCCCCTGCTCTGCCCCAGCCCTGCTTCTGCAGCAGCTATAGCCTGCCCCACCTTGGTCCGTGGTGGCACTGGTGATGGCCCTGGCTGTGAGGCTCTGCCTGGTGGTGAAGGTCAGCTGCCCTGCCAGGTTCACTCCACGCCTCACGGAGCCGGCCAGGCCAGGGAGCTGCGGAGGATGGTGACTGGCAAAGGGCTGGCTGCTCACCTGCCTGGGAGGCCATTAATCTTGTGTCTCTGAGGGCTCTCATCCTCCTATGCCAGCTACCCTGGCATGGACCGATGTGGGAAAGGCCAGGTGATTTTCTTATTGTTATTCTTTAAAATTCAAGGTCACAGTCAGCCATGCTCCTTCAGAGGCTGAGCGTGGGCTCTGGGACCTTCCCGCCCTGTGGATGTCTACAGGGGTGTTGCGGAGGTAACCCTGGAGGGCCAGGCAGCCAAGGCCCATTCACTGCACCCTGAGCACCAGTCCCACAGCCGGCCAGGCTGCAGAACTGACTCCCAGCACCGAATTCCTCTCCCTGCCATCTGACACCTCCCTCACACAGTGGCAGAGGTGCTGGGTACCCTCCCCAGGGGTCTGCAGATGTATGCAGCTTGACCTTGGCCCCTGGAATCTTGGCTTTAATCACAGATCCGTATTTCCTTTAAAGGCTGGGGTCATTGACCTTAGAGGAATTCCAAAATAAGAGTTACTGGGGCAAAATCCGGGCAAAAATTGGGACAAATGAATTTGGGGCCAAAGAGAAGGTCCTTGATTAAGCTGAATGTTTGGAGTTCTGAAGCTGACTGTCTTCAAAGGAGTGAGCTGCTTGTCACTAGAAACATCTGAATGGACAGGGACCTGCTGGGGATATCATTTTGTCCCTTTTATATTGATGGGTGCACAGGGTGGGGCCCCTGGGACAGCCTCTTCCAGACCGGAAGTGCCTCCCAGGGGAGCTTGTGCTTGCTGCAGATTGGAAACTGTAACAGCAGGGGTCTTAGTGTGAACTTCCAGCCAGGCACACTATGGAACACTTTACCTACTTCTGTTTTTGAATCTCATAACTGTAGTGCAAAGCGGGCACATGCATTTTCCTCATTCATATCACAGCTGAAAAGGGAGCCTAGCGAGGTTGAGTGTCGTCCCCAAAGTCACAGAGCTAATAAAAGTCAAAGTCAGGATTTGCACACAAGTCCGCTTCTGGAGTCTTGCTATGTAGGATGCACCCGAGGATAACCAGGGGCCCTAATGTTCTTCTTGCTCTTCTCCTCTCTGTCACATTTGCCCCATCAGCGTTCAAAGGCAGTTGAGAAACTGGTGGCCTCTGCTTTGCTGCTTGCGGCCTTGTCACTGTCTCGCTCGTGTTTCTCCAGAGCAGGGCACAGGGCCCTTCCCTGGCAGGGTCTCTTGAGGAGGGAGGTGATGGAAGGCAGGGCTTAAATGGGTCAGAGGAGAGGGACTCAGAGGCAGCTGCCAAGGCAGAAGGGGCACAAGTCTGGGGTACAAGAGTGGCATTGGGCATCACACTTATGCCACTCATTCCAGATTTGAGACAAATGTCCATATCGGATCCTTGCAACAGCCCTAGGAGACAGAAGCTTCTCTGCTTCTCATTTTAAGGTGCTGCCACTGAGGCCCAGAGAGGCTGTGTGGGTGTCCAGATGCTCAGCAGGACAGGAACCTGGGTCTGCTAGACTCCTCATTTTTCTGTTCATTCAGGTCAGCCTCTGGTCTTCTGTGGCTGGGACGTGAGGGACATAAAGGACACAGTTGAATATGAAGGTCAGGGATTATTTAGTCCTCATATTCTAAATGCAGATCCTGAGGCCCAGAATGTCTTGTTGAAGCCAGTGAGTTGGAGACCAGAGTCACCCCCAGGTCCCTCTGTGTCCCTGGCTCCAGTTGGCCTTTTGTGCAAAGAGCAGATGCAGTCCTCTGGGAGGGAATGGTCACCGTGGCTGTTGGGACTGGTGGTTCTTTAAATCATCCACACATCTTTATTGAAATGAACAGATGCCATGCTTTTGGCAATCCAACAGGAAGCTCCCTAGGGTGGAGACTGAGGCCTCTCTGGTGGCTCTGATTCTGGACAGGTCCCTTAACCTCTGGACTCAGAGTTCTCATTGACATCATGGGGCTGATGACCTCCAGCTCATGGGGCAAATAGGAGGGCAGGTGGAGTGGGCATCCGGCAGAGGTTAGCTATGGGTCTTTGGCGGGCAGGATCTAGCAGTACCCTGTTCTCCCTCCGTGTTACACCTTCAGACTCTGCATCGTCTTTGGATATCCTCACTGGTGGCGAATCCCCTTCCTTTGGGGGTGGATTTAATTTTTAATGCAGCCAAGGTCATCTGAAGGCAAGGCTCAGAAATTAGCTGGGTGACAAAGCTGAACAGAGCAGTTTTTGCTTACAAAGAAAATGAGGCTGTGACTCTATTTCTCACTTAATTTAGCCCCAAGAGGAGCTCCAAAAGCCCCGTGACCCCAGGCAGCTTCACTGGGGACTGGGGAGGAGATGCCCAAGCTGACCCTGTTGAAGGGGACAGCACTCATCAGGTATATAAATATCTGTTGGTCACAATGATCCTCCTGACTTCACAGTCACACCTGGCTGCTCCTGACCAGCTGTCCCCACTTTGTGGAGCCAGCGTGGTGGGAGTTCACTTAGACATCCGGGGGAACTTGGGTTTTGTGGCAGCCACCGGTCAGGCTTGCTCCCTGCTCCATGCAACATGCCCGTACCCTTCCCATCTTACCAGCCAAACCTGCAGATTACCCAGCAGAGCCCACGATGCTTTGGCCAGGAGGACCCAGTGAGCCACAGCATGCAAGAGTCTAGCTAGGGCAGAGGCGAAGAAGGACACACAGTCTCTCCTGCCCCAGGGACATCATTTGCTCTTGAGAATTACCCTGGCAGTGGGAGCCATCAGAGCGGGCACTTCTTTCCCCTGTTCTTGCACCTCCATCCCATGGCCTGGCGCTGGGGGTTGAAAGAGGCCCTTGTACATGCTAGGCAAGCGCTATACCACTGAGCTGAGCTACACCCCCGCTCCGTCCTTTGGTCTGAGATAACACTCTTCCTCATTCAGGTGTGTTATGAAACAGTGATTATACTGGGTATCTTTTCCCCTTTAATAGTCTTACTCGACAAATAGGCCTGTATCGATCCCCAAGTTGGGTGACAGTAGGAGAAAGTGGGGTATATTCTGTGAGATTGAAAGATGGAGACTCCCTAATCCAGGACCCAGAAACTGGAAGCCAGGGGTCCTCAAGCTGGACTTCAAGGCTCTGTAGGGGACCTGGAACCAGAAAGCGAAGACACGAGAACAAGTTAGTATTTGCTGGGCTCCAGGAATTCTCCTCCTCCCTTGGGGCCTGCCCTTTGTGCCGCTCAGAGGACCTGGGGACTTCCTGTCTGGATTGGCTGAGCTGTGGGGATGCACAGTGCTCCTGTCCCTGAGCTCTGACAAACTTTTTTTTTTGGTACCCAGGATTGAACTTGGGACCTTGCACTTGTGAGGCAGGTGGCAGAACCACTGAGCGAAATCCCTGGCCCCCTGAGCTCTGGCCTCCTGCAGGGAGTCACCAGATGCTGTGTGAGCAGAAAGGTCCCTTTCCCCCTTAGCCATGATTGAAGCTTAGCTCCAGGCTGCTGAACCCAGCACAAGCCAGTGTTCACAGTATCCATGTGGGAGGGCTGAGAAGAGAAAGAGCATCAACCTCCTTGTGTCAGAGGAGGAGGGAACATGACTGGAAACCCAAGACAGACAGAGGATTGTCATTCACAAAAGACCACGTGGCCCTCATGCTATTCTGTTCTTTCCAGCCTGCAAGACTTTGGATGAAAGAGGCTTGAAGGATGGGAACTGTGGGGATCGGTCACTGCAGGGAGGGCCTGGGGTCTAAGCAGGGGTTGGCCCCATTTGCTGGGCAGCGGGAGGTGGGGAGCAGAGGTATGCAGCCTGCTTGGAGTCTGACCCTCAGGGGCAGCGTCCCTCGAAGTGTGCGTGGAGCTCCACCCGGTGTGCATGTGTGTGCCCGGAAGGGGTCTCGGTGAAGTCCTCTGGGAAACAGACCCAGAGAAGGGATGTGGCAGTGGAGGTAGGGATGATAGATACAGGTATAGTTAGGGTTATGGGTGAGATACATTATAAACAGTCAACAGTCAGTTTCTGTTTATTCGTTTTGCAGTGCTAGGTTTTGAGCCAGGACCTTTGCACTGAGCTACATCCTCAGCCCTTAAAAAAAAATTTTTTTTTAATTTGGAGACACAGAATTGCTGAGTTGATAAGTTGCCCAGCTGGGTTCGAACTTGCCATCCTCCTACCACAGCCTCCCAGAGTGCTGGGATTACAGGTGAGCGCCCTATAGCTCATGTGGTTATGGGGGCTGCTGTGTCCCAAGACCTGCAGGGTGAGTGGGCGAGCCAGAGCCCCAAGACGTGGATGGTGCTGCTCCTGTCCAAGGCTGGCAGGCATGAGACCAGGAAGACCAATACTTCAGTTCCAGTCTGAAGGCAGGAAGAAGTGGAGGTCCCAGTTTGAAGGCTATTGCCAAGTGCTTTTTCTTGGGGGTGAGTCAGCCTTTTTATTCTTCCCAGTCCTTCAGCTGAGTGGATGAGACCCACCCACATTAGGAAGGACAATCTCCATTAATTGGACAATTTAAATTGTTTTTTTTTTTTTGTACCGGGATCGAACTCGGGTACTTGTGCTTGCCTAGCAGGCAGTGAAACCGCTGAGCTAAATCCCCGGCCCACAATTTAAATGTTAACCTCACCCAGCACTATCTTAAAAAAATGCCCAGCATAATGTTTGGCTGAATACCCGAGCACTCTGTGGCCCAGTCAAGTTGACATAAAATTAAGCATCAGAGCCATCAAATGAGTTTGGGAGGCTCTGTAGGCTGTTTTACAGGCCTTGATGTTAGTGTGTGAAAAGTCTGGGGAGTTCTCCAGTAAGGAAACCTATTTGACTTGTTCATCCAGGTCTTTTCTTTACTTCTTTGACTATGGTACTTTCTGGGGACAGGGACAGGATACCTATTGAAACCCCACAGAACTGGGTTCTAGGAATGACACCCTGGGAAACAGTACCTTGGAAACACCATGTAAATCTGGCTTTGTCCTCTTGGGCCATTCTCCTTCCTCCCTTCTGCTCTGCTTGACCATGTGTCATGATCAAGAAGCATCCATGTACTGTCACGGTCAAGTGCATCTAAAAGTGAAGGAACTCAGAACTTTCAGGGAGTTCTTAATTTGACTGCTTTTATCTGGTACTTGCTCAACGCCAGCTCAGTGCTAAGTGCTTTGCACGCATGGTCTCATTTGATTCTTCTAACTACCCTTTGAGCTAGGAACATGTATCTCATGACTGGCATGGAGTTTTATGGGACTTACTGGCCAGACAGAAGTCAGGATTGGACCCAGGCCTAACTCCAGAGCAGTACCCTTAACCACTGGACCACCTGGATTCCCACTGGGGCTAGGAGACCTTTCAAAGGAAGTAGAGGTTTGGAATCGATCAGTTCATCTAGAAGCCCATAACCGAAGGGGTACCTCGTGGTGGCCGAAGGGAAAGTGGAGAGATTAGGGAATAGGGAGAGGGGTGAAGGTGTTAGGGAGGAGAGTGTGTGTTGGCCCAGTGCCCCATGTCCAGAGGGAAAGGCAGTAGAACATGGGCTCAGCATGTCCTGAGCCATCGCCGGCCTTGCTGGTGACAAACAGCCTGCTCACTCGCTGCGTTCCACTTGCTGCCTGAGGGCTGGGTGCCCTCACGGGTGGTCCCTGAGAGTGCCAGGCAGGTGGGCGTGGTGCCAGGCAGTAAGACCCAGCTAATTGGGCACAGAACCTTGTGGTCCAATCATTGATCTGAGTTGGACAAAATGTGAGTGCTCTCAAAAATCCCCCATGCTCTCTGCCTGTGGGTGAAGCAGACGAAGACGGCGTATCTGATTTTGCATTAGGATGGTTACGTGTGTGTATGCGTTTGTGTGTGCCTTGACTATGTCTGTCTTCAGCAGCCAGTGCTTACCAGGGACCTGGCCTTGTCACTTGTGACCGTATAGGGCCTGTGTACATGCAAACTCAGTAGGAATGTATTCCTGAATAACATAGCGCTTAAATTATATTATACTTACATCCTTGTTAATCACATCTGGCAAGAATTCCTGCTCAGCCTCTTTAATATATTTACTGATGGTTTGGAGTTTTTTCCTAAAAAACACACAAAAGTTAGGAGCCGAATCAGACACATGAGTTGCTTTGTTGGCCTCTAACTCAGGTACAGAACATGAGGTGTAGTCCTAAGACAGGTGCTTTCTGTGGCCAGTAAACCATCGGGAATGGCTGTTTCCTTAGTAGCAGGGGCAATGCATGGGCACAGCAGGGGCAGAGGGGCTCCCCAGAAGGGCATAGACCAGCTGGGTGAGGGCATTCTGGGGGCAGAGTTCACTAACCAGTGCCGCAGGTGTTTGGTCCTGCACCTGCCGCCTGTGTCACCTGGAAGGAAGCTGTACCCTGAGGCTTCAGGAGCTGTTTGGCTGTGGCTGGTAGGGCTCTCGTAATAAAGGAGACCCACTGCCTGAAGCTGATGAACTCCGGCAGGGGTTTCCTTGTGAGGTAGTTGGGAGCTGCCCCTTGGACCTGCAGTCCATGGTCAAGATCTGAAAAGGTAGAAGGCTTCCGGAGCTTCTATGGACCTGGGGGAAGGTATCCATGAAGGTCAGCAGACACCCATGGAACATGGACAGAGCCTGGGATCTGTAGTAGCTTGTTGTGGCCAGGTCAGTAAACCACCCTTAAAATTTAACTTCTCTGCCTCTAAGCCTTCCCTCGGGCTTTACCACAGTGGAAACCTGGGGGCCTTGGCAGTCACCGACACTCTGCCCCAGTCCTGCACTCAAACCTGGCCCTGCCTTTTGGTGATCACCCCTCACTCCATCCTGTGCCGTCATTACCCGGAAGAGCAGCCACCCAGGGGCAGAGCAGGCCCTCCCAGGATGGATAGAGGGGCATCAGCGGGGGGGGGGGGGTGTGTGTCCCGCTCCACTTTGCAGGTGCAGGTGAAAAGGGACTGCATGGCTGTGTGTGCTGCTTCACAGGTCACCCATCCCGGGCAGGTCTGTTATTCTGTCCACCAAACTGGTCCTTAGGCTGTGCTGCCACTTCCTGCCCAGGTCCCTGGGATTTGCTTTGCAGTCACAGTCCCTGCTGCTCTCAGAGTTTGGCACCAGGCCGTGCTAGTTCACAGCCTCGGTTGTCAAGGTCTTCACAGATTCAGATGGTAGCATACGTGGTAAATATCTTAGCCTGGCATGGGAGGAGTGCCCAGCACTACAGAGGTTGAGGCAGGAAGATCACCATGAGCCCAAGGCCAGTCTGGGGTGCCGTGTGAGTTTAAGGCCAGCATGGACTACATGGTGAGATGCTGACTCCAAAAACCAAAACAACATGACTTAATTTTATTGTAAAAATTATTGAGAAAATGTCAAAATTACTTGGAATAATTTAGATGCAGATAACTCACTGACTTTAAATAGGCTGTGATTTAAATCGGCTTGGCAAAACTCAAGCCAACTCAGAAATTCTTACTGAGAAAATCTAACCTGCAGCCAGATGTGTTGGCATATTCTTGTCATCCCAGAACTCTGGATCACAAGTTTGAGCCTAGCCCGAGCACTTTAGTAACTCAGCAAGACCCCATCTCAAAATAAAAAATATTTTAAAAGGGTTGGGATGTAGCCGTCTGTGAAAGGCCTTGGTTTGATCCCCAGTACTGCAAAAAAAAAAAAAAAAGGAACCTACAAAGTATTTTTAGGGATAAGGAAATACTTATGAATATAACATTAACCTGACATCATGTTGTACTTTGTGGATGTTTCATTAAAAAATTAATTTCATTAAACATTTAAAATTTTTAAATTTTGCAGCTAGGTGTGGTGGCACACACCTGTAATCTCAGCATGCAGGAGGCTGAGCCAAGAAGATCACAAGTTCAATCCCAGCCTGGCAGTTTGGTGGGTTAGAGAGACTCTGTCTCCAAATAAAGTCAAAAGAGATCTGGGGTTGTAGCTTAGTGTGAAGGCCTGTGTTCAGTCCCCAATACCACCCTAAAAAAATTATTTGTGCATTTTCCTTTTCATATTTAAAATTTTTTTCAGCATATTTCAAACTTATGAGCCAGGTGTGGCAGCACACACCTGTAGTCCCAGGGAGGCTGAGGCAGGAGGATCACCATGAGCTTGAGGACAGCCTGGGCTACATAGTGAGTTCAAAGGCAGTCTGAACTACACAGGGAGACCCTGTCTCAAAAAAACAAAAAAGTGAAGATCTTTGGAAGAATTCCCAGGCCAGAGGTCCTGTGCTCTCCTGCCAAGTGGGTACACAGCAACCCTGCTCATGCCCAAGGGGTTACAGAGCAGGGAAGGGGCCGGGGCGAGCAGTGAAGAGAGGATTGCCTGACGGAGTCTGGGGCCTCTGAGGGGCAGTTGGGTGGTGGGTGGCGTGGAGCCAGGATCAGGGCTGGGTTCTGGGTTGTTCTCTGTCAGTTCCCTTAATCTTCGGGGGAACTTTGGAACCTTGGTCCTGCCGCCACAGGTGCCTCACCTAACACTCCAGATGTCTTTTAGCTCCTTCCTCTTTTCATTCTAGACTTTTCTCAAATGAACCTTGGTTAATATGATGCCCATCCCTCCTGAATGTAAAATATCATGTTAAGAAGCCATTCATGCTGTGTAGTCAGATAAGCAGCCCAAGGGAGTTGGGAGCGTCCTCCCTTATTTATTAGTGTGTTCACTTCCAGCCGCAAAGGCTACTCAGCACAGACAATGGGTCTTGGGCCAGCAGGGCCGTGTGGCCCGTTCACACTCAGCCTGAAGCCCTCTTGGTTGAATATGGTTGGGAACTACGCTGTCTTGTGGAAGTGGGTCTAGGTACTTCCGGGAGGGCAGAGCTTCTACATTCCCACCTGATGCCCTGGAAAAGGGGCACGGGTGTTGGTTTGGAGGCTGAGCAGGGAAGCCTGAAAGTGAGCCTCATGTGTGTGGACAGGGGCAGGGGGCTTGCTCACTTCCGCAAAGCAAGACAGACCCTCTCGGCGTTGTTTGCTTGTGTCAAGCAGCCTGTGAACTTCCCTGTGCAGTCACTGGGTGGGTGGCTGTTGGCGCTGCAAGGTCCTGGACAGACACCAGGTCTGAGAGGGAGCTCAGGAGGAGCTCCGTTCCCAGGTGCACCAGCCGATCTGCATGGACAGAGTGTCAGCTTCCAGGTGTTCACATCTGCAGAGCAGGCTCCAGGCACCAGGCAGGTCTGAGGGGCGGTCAACCCCTCCCACCCACGCACACAACAGGTTCACAGCCTCCTCAGGCCAGCTGGCCCCACTTGGTCTTTGTTAGGTCACAAACATCTGTTAGGCACCTCTGTGATGACACAGAGATGACAGAGGCAGTGCCTGTCCTTCCAGAACTTAGCTGAGAAATGAGCCCGAAGCACTGGCACTGGCTGGGGCAGGGAGCAGCTCTCCCCACACAGAGCCAGCACACAGTAGGTTTGCAGTGATCACAGCTTCCCGAGGTGCTGGAGGAACCTAGAGGAGAGAAAGTGAGGAATTCGCCAGAGAAGCTCCTTCAAGAAGGAGAGAAAAAGATGTGAACATCGCAGTAACTAGAGAGAGACAAGAACTGTGGTGTGAAGCTTGGAGTGGTTGTGCACAATTATAATACCAGCATTCTGGAGGCTGAGGCAGGAGGATCACCATGAGTTTGAAGCCAGCCTGGGCTACATAGTGAGTTCAAGGTCAGCGTGGAATACATAGAGACCCCATCTCAGAGAACCAAAATGAAAGAAAAGAAAAGAACTATGGTGTGAGCAGCACTGTAGGGAAGTGAAGCAAGGGCTAATTGTGATGGGCACTCCATTTCCGCAAGGCTGATCTCATTGTGCCTGTCACCTCCCTCACCCTTTGCCATCGGTGCTGCTATCTTCATGCTGTGTTCAGCTGCGTAGCCGCAGGCCAGAGAGGTCAAGCAGATGGCCACAGCCGTGCAGATACTCAGTGCAGGAGTCCGATGCAATAGGGCATCTGTCTAGGGGACCAAGGACTGGGGGGAGAACATAGCAGTCACTGGACCACTTACTGGGGCCCTGGAGAGTGAAGCTTAACTGGTGAGGGACCCTTGTGGAAGGAGTTGCCTGGGGGTAAAGTCTGAAGGGGAATGAGAAGTTGAGACAGGTGTTCGTGGAGTAGGACGCCATGGGTCTCTAGTGAACACTTGGCCGTGCCCCCACCCGTCTCTGAGAGGAAGGACACCCTGGCGACAGGCTCCTGCCTTAATACAGTGTGTGCATTTTATCTCTGCACACTCCTCCAAGACTTGGTTTAAAGATCCCAGCTCAATACCATTAGTGTCTATCTGCGCAGAGCCCTTTGTAAAATTGATTAGAAAGTGGGCTTTTGGATGCGGGGAGGAGGGGGTAGGCCTAATCGGATTTGAGCATGAGATGGTATCTAATTCCCTGCATCTAGCAACTGGCTTGGGGACCTCCCCTGGAGCCAGGGCCCCCCTAATTTGGTTTTCGAATACATTAGCCAAACAAGCTGAGGGGGCTCCTGTGGGGAGAGGGTTTCTGGGGGGTTGGGAAGGGACATGGTAGGAAGGCTAGGGACCTGAGCAGGAGCAGTGCTTTCCAAACAGGTCTGGAGCATAAATTTCAGCTGAGGTCACTGGGGTGTGCATTTCTGCTGGTTGTACCCTATCCAGGAAAATGAAGCCAACTTCCAAGGTGACTTGTTATTGCATTGCTTGCCACTAATTGAGCCCCTATGCATACATTAAAAGTTTTTTTTTCTTCCTTCCCTCTCTTCCTCCCTCCTTCTCTCAAAGTGCTGAGAATTGAACCCAGGGCCTCCCACGGATGAGGCAATTGCTCCACATTGAGCTACATTCTCAGCCTCTTTTAAATTTTATTTTATTTTATTTTATTTTATTTTTACGGGGATCAAACTCGGGACCTTGCACTTGAGAGGCAGGCAGTGGAACCACTGAGCTAAATCCCTGGCCCCCTTAAATTTTATTATTGAGACAGACTCTTGGTAACTCACCCAGGCTGGCCTCATACTTGGAGTCTTCCTGCCTCAGCCTCCCAACAGCAAAATTCCAGGTGTGCACCTTCACACCCAGCTTAGTTTTCTTTCTTTTTTTTTTGCAAAGTAGTAATACATAAGAACAGTCACACTCTGAGATACAGGAGGTGACTATTATGTCACTCTTTCTCCTCTCGTCCTTGGTCTCCTACACTGCCTCTCCAGGATAGCTGCTATTTCCGGGTGTTCTGTGACTCTTGTCTTCTCACGGATTTCCCACATGCGTGCATGCACAGCTTTCTGGACCTGTCCAAGAAACCTGCAAGCCTTCAAGGGGAGCCCAGTTGTCCCCATCGGGCAGTTGGAGAAGTGGAGGCTCAGGCTGGGTTAGGTGCCCGTGGCTGGGTGGCAGAGCCAGGAACCAAAGTGTAGATGGTCTGGGTTTAAATCCTGGGTCTTCCTGTGATGTACGTATCCTTCCCAGCAAGAGGGGGCTGCTCCGAGCTAAACAGGAAACCTCTGGGGTTTCCCTTCCCCAGCTCTTCCTGTCCATCCATTTGCTCTCCCTTGGCCACTGTATACCCAAGCATCCTAAGGAGGATGGGGCACTTGCAAGGATTATTTATTTTGGTACTGGGATTGAATTCACACTGAGCTCTATCCCCAGCCCCTTCTTTATTTTTTATTTTGAGACAGGGTCTCACTAATTTGCTCAGGCTGGGCTCGAACTTGTGATCCTTCCTGCCTCAGCCTCCCAGAGCACTGGGGTTACAGGTGTGAGCCACCAGGGATTCTTTCTTAAGGCCTCCTTCAGGTGGACACCCTTAATGAGCGTGGGGACAAGTGAGTTGAGTGAATCCTCACCTGCTTTATCAGGATCTTGTGGGCTCTGTCACTTCCCTACAGGGTGCCCCGGGTGGGGGGAGAGTGTTGGCAGGGCATGATGGGAAGTGAGTGTGACATCAGAATCTAGGGGCAGCATCTGGCTTCACCGAGTGAGGGCCTTGGGAGGTCTCAGTGGCATGAAAGCCTGGTACCTGATGAAAGCCCAGTACCTGGTTGGCTCTTAGTAAATACGAGTGTTGTTAGCATTACTAGCTAGATTACATGTATGTATGTATGTAAGTATGTATTTATTTTTGGTACCAGGGATTGAACTCAGGACCTTGTGCTTTCGAGGCAGGCACGGTGCCACTGAGCTAAATCCCTGGCCCAGCATATTATTCTTTTTTTGGCATATTGGGGATCGAACTTGGGACCTTGAGCTTTCAAGGCAGGCGGTGAAACCACTGAGTTAAATCCCTGGCCCACTAGATTCCCTTTAATACATTACTCACCCACTCTGTGCAAGTTGCCTTGAATATAAGGCTAGAATATAAGAGCAAAATTGTTCTATGCTATTATTTAACACCTAATGTTTAAAAAGCATAATCTTTACAGTGTAAAAGTGTGTTGTTTTCAATACAGAGTCCACCAAAAAGCATATACACAATTCAGTAGTTTGCCATACTAATAAATGTCAGGAAGCTGATGGCCACCACTTTGAGCACCTCTTGTAACTTTAGAGGCCAAAGGTAATGTGTATTAATCCCATGATGGCTCAGTACATTTAGTATTAAAGTATTTATACAAGTGTTTCTTTTCCTGATGTATACATTTTTTGGCGGACTCTGTAGAATAGCATAATGCCAAGGTGTACCAGAGGCGCTTGGTAAATAGGATTTACCATTTTTGCTCCCTTCCCTTTACCAGCTTTCTTGGTTCATCTTTATCCTTGTTCTGAGTAATTTCTGTAAAGTGAACCAACTTTAGTTTCCTCTTAACACATTACCGAGCACCTGCTGTTTACCTGGGACTCTGCTATGTATTGGGGCACAAGGAGGAGCAGGTCATAGCTCCTGCCCTCTGTGACCCAATCATCAGATGCGGATGGGGACCAACTGCCGTCCCAGTGGCCCCTTTGTGGCATGGGAAATGTCCACATCTCTGATACCCCATTTACCATGCTGAGCAGCGGGGCTGTCTCCCTTTCTTGGTCTTGATATTTGGAAGACATAGAGCAACCTGGCTGATGTGGTTTTAGTCTTGTGGGAGCCAGAGAGGCTGAGCTCCCTCCTTCCGCCTTCGAACCCCAAGAGCTCATTTACAGGGCTGCAGAAGGCAGTCTGCCAGACCCCCTCTTTGGCAGTGCCTGGCATACCCACTGTGCCACTTCCCACAACCCACACCCCCTGGTGACTCCCCCCAACCCCTGCCCCTTCCCTTCCCTCATCCTCCCCCAGGAAGGTTTTCTAGGGACCAGAGTGTTTCAGCCCTGGTGCTGTACTGTAAAACCCAGAATTAATAACAGCTGGATTATGGGGTGATTATTAGCTTTGCTTAAAGATTTTCCCTTTACTCAAGGATTAGCTCGGGGGTTCCTTTAAATAGCTAGCTTTGCTAATGCATTTGTATGGCAAAGAAAGGGTGACTGGGGAAAAAAGGACACCCCTGCAAAGCAGAGCTTGCCTTCTAAGCCAGCCATGTAGCTTGCCAGGTGTGGTGGTACACACCTGTAACCCCAGCACTCTGGGAGGCTGAGGCAGAGCATCATAAGTTCGAGCCCAACTGTCTCAAAATAAAAAATTAAAAGGGCTGGGGGTATAACTCAGTGCAAAGGCCCTGGGATCACTCCCCAGTTCTGAAACAAAAAAACTAAGCCAGCCACGTGACATGTGAGGCTCATTCGCCTCTTGGAGCCCCAGTTTCCTTGGAGGAGGACGTGAGCAGAAGCCTCTGGCCCCAGCCCGGAGGATTGAGGCAGAGGTGCACGAGGCAGTTAGCAAAGGGCTGGCTGTGCATCAGGGTTCATGGGTCACAGAGACCCGGGTGTCCACACCTAGGCCAGGCCCTGCCCACCTCTCCATCCTGGTCTTTGCCCACACTCCCACCTGCCTTCTTCCTGGCTCTGTCACCTGCCACATATCTGCATCCCAGAATTCCCAGCGCTTCCAGTCCAGATGAGGTCTGCTGTTTCCTACCTCTGTGATTTGCCATTCCCCACCCTCCCCCACGTTGGGCTGGCTGACACCTACTTATCCTCCAAGCAAAGCAGAGACTCTGCCACCTCCAGGAAGCCTGCCCTGACCACTTCCCTTACGGAGGGCTGGACCCCTCTGCTCTGCATGTACACCCGTTGTGTCGTGGCACTTTAGAACACTTTCTCTTCCGAGGGACGTGTGGTCACTGCGCACCTGTATGTGCTGAGTCGTGGTGTGCAGCATGCGGCCATGAGCTCAGGGGCAATTGATTCAGTGTGTGGCACATGGGTGCATGTGTTTCATTGAAGCCTGTCCTGAACATGTCCTCACCAGCAGAACCTTGGAACTGGACACCAGGAGTCTGAATGAGTCTTTGTTTTTAGCAAATCACTTGGCCTGGCTTTCCTGGGCTAGGAAACAGGGTCACGACAGTTGTGCCCTCCGGGGCTGCCAGGCAGATGCAGCAGCTCCTGAGTGCCCCTCTGCACCTGCCCCAGAGCCGATCACTGAGGCCCAGAGTTCTGCCCCTGAGCCCCCCACCATCCTGCCTCCCCAGGTTGCTGAGCTTGCTCTCTCTCCTCACTCGCTCCAGTGAGCTAGGTCTTCCCCGCCCTCCCCAACCAGTCAGCACAGAAGTAATCCAATTTTACTTGATTATTAGTCACTACTTTCTGTTGCTGTTCTTTGTTGTTGTTGTTCCTTTTTTTAAAAGCATCGTGGATTTAATTGAGTTGATTGATCAGCACAGTCACTGACTGGAAGGAGGTGCTATGTAACCCTCTCTTCCCTAGCCTGTCCCTCTGTCCACAGAGGCCCCAGGCTGTCTGTCATGCTCCAGACTCAGCTGTCCCCAGGACCCGGGCCCGCAGGTGCAGCAGCATGGGGGCTGGTTGGGCTGGGGCCCTGGCCTGGCCTCATGATCTGCAGCGTATCCTTGGTCCTCTCAGGGCTGAGTCTGCAAAGAAAAAAGCAATGAGAATGTAGCTCAGTGAAAAGGTCCTGGGCTCAATCCCCAGTACCAATAAATAAATAAGTAACAAACTGTTGTAAGCTCTAGTTCACCCTGCTGTGCTGTAGAGCGTTAGACCTTGCACCTCCCATCTAACTGCCACTTATCCGTTACCCAGCCTCCCCCTCTCTTCTACTTTGCCTCTTCCTAACCTCTACTAGCTGCTACTCAGTTTTCTCCTATGAATTCAACTCTTTAGATTCCACACATGAATGGGAATATTGTA